GGGCAGCCCCACGCCCCGCCCCGGTTAACCCTAGCTGGGCCGCGGCCTGCGAGACGATCTTGCAGCTTGATGTACGGGCTGGGGGTGGTATGGGTGCAGTCGCGGTCCTGGGCGCTGTTTCTCGCCGGGCGAGCGCACTTCGGACCCACTCACCCCGCTCCCACGAGGTGTTTCCGAGGCCTTTCTCGTGGCTGTGACGGGCTGCGGCCCGGGACTGGTGCAGCGGCGCCTCCGCCGCCTTTGGCCGCGCGAGTCGGGCGGTCTCAGCTCCCGGTGGGGGCCGAGCAGCGTCCCAGAGCCCTCAGGGCCCGGGGTCTCGCTCCCCTGCTAGGGCCAGGGGGGGCCGACAAAGTAAGGGTGACTGCCCAACGGTTGGATTGCAGGCGAGGGTGAAAACTTTCTCTCGCCCCGTTGCATCTTCTGTAAGGATGCGAATGCAGGCGCCCGTCCTGGGAAAGGGCTTGAGGAGGGAGGCAAGGGTTGGTTTCGTTCATCCATCTGCTCACAAAAGCGGCCGCTACCGTGGGGCGCTCTTTCTCCTCAGCTGATTTCGCCCTGAGGGGGAAGCGGGTCAGGCTAGGCAAAGGGAACAGCTCCTGCAAGAGCCCACTCGGTGCCCTGGCAGAGGAAGGAGGAACGCACTCCATAACCCTGGTCCTCGACCACCCTGCCCAGATCACCCAGCGCTCGGGACGCCCTTCCAGGAAAGAGGCACCTGCCAGACCTGCCTGCCTGGTGGAAATGGGCGGAGATGGGGCCCTACTGCGGAGGGTAGTGGGCAAGAGGCTCTGTGCTCCAGGGCTCTCGCCTGGGGAGAAAGGACAGATGAGGTGTTTTGCAGTGCTGCCTGAGTCCTGGGTCCCTGACAGCCCAGTTCCCCACCCAGCACATTCCACTGCCTCCCAAACTCCTGGGCATCCTGAATAGCCCACGTCAGCACAAAGTCTCAAGGGTCAGCTCGCCCAGCCGCAGTGGACCCCTTCACCTGTCTTGCAGGCTTGCCAACACTAGCAGAAGTCTGCTGAGGCCCCAGTGGGGAGGGGTCACGGGTAGAGGCCTTGAAATGGACCCTCCCTATCCCTGCCTCCAGCCTCCACCTTCTGCTTGCACAGGGTCACCCTAAACTCTGACTCTTACCCAACATCTTGAGGGGACTCAGGAGCTGCTCCAGGGAAGCAGAAAATGGTTGCGGGTGAGGGTGAAAACTTTCTCTCCTTAGTGGCATTTCCTCCTGTAAGGATGCAGGTGCCCACCCTGGGGAAGGGCTTGAGAGAGGAGGCAAGGGTTGGTAGAAACTTCATCCATTTGCCCACAAAAGCAGCCAGATTCTGACATCTTCCGCCAGAACTTCCTGGGTTTTCAGCCATCCTGCCCACACCCATTTCTGGTGAAAGCTGGAGGCCCCTACAGCCCACCTCCCAAGGGCCTGTGTTCTCTGTACACAAGAGAGGAGTCTATGCTGATGGTGGGCAGTGCCTTAAAGGTGGTCATCTGGGCAGAGCCTTGGGAAGATATATCCTGAGGTCTTGGGCAGAAGAGTGTAGACAGCTTCTGAAGTAACCAGAGCATAGACACTCTTGCTTTGCTCAGGTAAGGGGAATTGGGGGTTCCAGCCCCTCTGTAGAGCCAAATCCTGTGACTGAGCCTCCATAGGTCTCAGGTGGGCATCCCAGGGCCACTGGAAGGGTAAGCTACAGAGGTGATGTGTGGGGGCAGGGCCACCCCAGGACTGGGGGGGTGTCTCCTTAAGGTCTCTGGGGATGGCAGTACCACATCACTACCTCTGCTTCACTGGCCCCAAAATGTCAGGGTGAAGTAAAGCTTCCTACCACCTGTTCCCCCATCCTGTGCAGCTTGAAGTTCCTTTCACAGTGACACCAGGGACAGAGCCTTCCTGCACCTCATCATCCTCTATGCCTCAGAGTGGCACAATCCATGGATGAAAGATGTGCCCAGAGAGGGGAGAGCAGAGCCCCCAAGGCTGCCCCTGACCCAGCAGAGTGCTGACCAGGAAAATTACAGCCTTAGTAAGCCCTCAGTCCCAGAATAGGTTTAGGGCACAAACACAGACCTTGGGGAGTCCTCTGGCTGGACCTTCACCTAGCAACTGAGCAAAGCTAAGAACAGTCCCTCCTGGCTCTTCCGTTGGGAGTGGGCTGGCAGACTGGCTACCCAGCTATCCCCAGGCTGAGATGCCATGGTGGTGGAGGGTCTCCCTACGCCCCACACTGTCACCCAGGCTCCAGCTCCACCTCTCCTTGTATGTCCCTGCCTAGGGGCAGAGGGGCTGGAGACAGTGTCCTATGTAGTCCCATTGGAAACCAGAGGGAAGGGAGTCCAGTGTGCTAGGACACTGCTGGATGGAAGGCCGTAAGAACTGACTAGGGGCTTGGTGCCTGTGGCTCAAATGGCTAAGGTGCCAGCCACATACACCTAAGGTGATGGGTTTGAATCCAGCCCAGGCCCGCCAAACAACAATGATGGCTGCAACCAAAAATTGCCGAGCGTTGTGATGGGGCCTGTGGTCCCAGCTACTTGGACGCCTGAGGCAGAAGACTCGCTTGAGCCCAGGAGTTGGAGGTTGCTGTGAGCTGTGATGCCACAGAACCCTACCCAGGGGGACAGCTTGAGGCTCTGTCTCAAAAAATAAAAAAATTAAAAAAAAAAGGACTGACTTGGGTAGGGAATGGCCAGATGGAGCAGGACCAGCACATGAGCTGAAGCCGAAATCCAAAGTTCTCCAGAGACAGGTTGGTGCCCTCCTGCCCCATGGCTGTTCAGCCACTTCTGGCAGCACTTCTGCATCCCTCTGAGCAGCTCTCCACTTGCAGACATGAGTGAACCCCAGATGTTGGCAGCTCCAGACTTTTGCTGAAACTTATGGTATGAAGAGGTGATTATCCTGCAGCGCTGGTGGCTCAAAGGAGTAGGGTGCCAACCCCATATGCCAGAGGTGGTGGGTTCAAACCCAGCCCTGACCAAAAACTACCAAAAAAAAAAAAAAAGGGGTGATTATCCAGTTGGCAGCCCTAAAGTCATCTCTCTTTTTATTTTTTTTTTTTTTTGAGACAGAGCCTCAAGCTGCCCCCCTGGGTAGAGTGCTGTGGCATCACAGCTCACAGCAACCTCCAACTCCTGGGCTCAAGCGAGTCTCCTACCTCCGCCTCCCAAGAAGCTAGGACCACAGGTGCCCACCATAACACCCGGCTATTTTTTGGTTGCAGCCATCATTGTTGCTTGGCGGGCCTGGGCTAGATTCAAACCCGCCACCTTAGGTATATGGCTGGTGCGTTAGCCACTTGAGCCACAGGCACCAAGCCCTGAAGTCATCTCTTAAGAAGCATTTGAGGCTTAAAGGATCCGTGAGGCAGGAAAGTAGAGCTAGGTCCCACCCAGGGGCTTCTGTTGCCCTACAACCCTGTGGAGTGAACCAGGAGGTGAAGGGACCTGCAGGCCTCCTACCCTCCCAGAGGCTCTCCACCTCCCATTCTCTGTGTCCACTAAGATGAGCCTTGACAAGATGGCAGCTTTTGCCAAAAAGGCATAATTTGAACAAAAAGCATTATGAGCAGGACAGAAACTACCTGAGGTGCATCCAGGGACCAGGGAAGAGACAAGTGTAGAAGGCCACTGGGCACTGTCTGGCTTATTGCTGCTCCTATGCAGAGAACCCAGGGTCAGGGGTGGCCTAGGCCTGTGAGGAAGCTAGGACCAGGTTTGGGCCATGCTGGTCAGCCTGCCTCATCTCAGGACACTTCAGTGACTTTAGTCTACTCATTTCTTAGAAAAATTTCAATTTTGTTTAAGTATTCAAGTGTGCTGGCTGAAACAAGCCTACAGTACTCTCATTCCTGGGGTTTGCAGGACCACACTCGCACCCCTCCCCCCAAACATGGAAAAAAGCATCACAGGCACCACACCTACCCCTGTTCAGAGACATTCTGCTGCTCTGTTCTCTCCCTAACCTTTGGCATGCTTGAGCTCTGTGGGCCAGAAGGTTACGTAGAAGGCTCTTCTTAGTAACAGTAACTGGAGCACTGGGAGAACCCCCTGCTCTTCTGTACCCTGGTGCAGAGAGAGGAATTGAGAATCTATCCCTGTTCTCTTTTTATGTTGTTTTCTTTTGAGGCAGTCTCACTTTGTCGCCCTCGGTAGGGTGCCGTGGCATCACAGCTCACAGCAACCTCAAACTCTTGGCTTCAAGTGATTCTCTTGCCTCAGCCTCACAAGATAGCTGGGACTACCACAATGCCTGGCTATTTTTAGAGACAGGGTCTCGCTCTTGTTTAGGCTGGGCTTGAAACCATGAGCTCAGGCAATCCACCCACCTTGGCTTCCCAGAGTGCTGGGATTACAGGCATGAGCCACAGGTCGGCCATCATTCCTGCTCTCTTTTCTGGTATCATAAAGCTACTCTTGGACATGCTTGTTATACAAAGCAGTTTTTTACACACCTGGACTTCCAAAGGTGGAACCTGTTACCCTTACATCTGGCATTCTGATCAGATCTGCTGTTAGTAATGTCTTGCCCTGAAAATGCTATCTAGTATGACATCATTCTCTCCTGAAAGGCACTTGTGCAGCTTCTGAAGCCAGAAGAAAAGTCTGCAATTTTCTTCTTCTCCTTTTGTGGAAAAAGTTATGCTAAATTTCACAATTTTTGCTGATTGCCTTACTTAAAAACAGCATCCAGTGTGTTTCTTATCGCAGCAATGCTGTCTGAATCTCCATGAACACATTATCCTTGGCAGCCCACCCCCTAAACCTTTCTAGACATTGGCTGCCTAGAGGCAGACAGCTGTCTGCTCTCTTTGCTCTGTGTCCTCAGCAACTCTGTAAAGCTCACCCATTCCATATGTGCTTGTTGAATAAATATGCACAGTTCATTCACTTGTCATTTAGTTGTCTGAAAATGTCAAGGCCCTGCCAGACAGGAGAGGAAATAAAGTCCTCAACACTGAGCCCAGAGGTCATTTCTCTGGTAGGGGTCCTTTCTAATTCAACCCAGGTTTTCCCATTCCGGGTTACTCTTTCGCTCTTTACTTTGCGTCAGCTTAGTCGTGAATTTTTTTTTTTTTTTT